TCATTTTGGTTGAAGAACGATTCTTTCAAAGATCAGCCGAAAGGTATTGTTGTTGAGTTCAAATATTTAAAAAATCACCTGTGATTTTTTTTCGTAAAATTATAGAGGTTTAAAGCTGTTTAAAGATTTTTATTTTTGCCAATGCCATGTTGGGAAAATTAACGCGTGATATGTTTCGTGCAATTAACGTGTAAGCCACAATTTCATCTGATTTAGATATCTTTCCACATTGATTGAAGCAGACAATTTGTAAAAAAAAAATTGCAACATTTTTTAGGCGAACACTGCTCCGGGAACCTAAAAAGGCAATTGGAGCTTTCAAGTTTTCACCCTGATACAAGCATTTTTGTTTTTCCGTTTTTCGAAGCAAATGACGGAACATTTGTGCACGGGATGGTTTTGTTTCTCCAGATAAATTTTGACAGTTTAACTAGTCATTTTTGACTGTATTTTTTTCTATCATCTGAAATGTTTTTTGTCTAGAGCTCAAATGTGAGTGTTTTTGTTGTCTAGAACTCAAATGTGATTGCCTGTGATTTTTTTTCTTAAAATTTTGTGGGTTAAAAGATTGGCATTTTGGCCACTTTGGGACAATTAGCGCGCGATATACTTCGATGCATTAAGGCGTAAAACTATTTCTGTTTTGGATAATTTTATCCGGTTCTTTTCAAAAAGAGCTATTGTAGCTTGCTCAGCTGGAAAGGCAGTAAGCCTTCATTAAATCGCGAAAACACGCGTGACTAAAAAACAATCCAACGCAATGAAAATTATTAGCAGAATTCGGCGAACTTTTCCTGCTTACTGCAAACAGAATCCATTCAGTATCCCAAACACTTGTGAAATGTAAAAAAAATTGTTAAAAACACCCTGTGGATAATTTTTCTTCAAAATAATCAGATTGCAAAAAACTTTGCATGAATATGAGCAAACAAGGCAGCCTTGCATTCTTACTTTTCAGTCCGATTTTAGACACTATCCAGTGCGTTTATTTATCACTTCAAATCAGAATTTTGAGTAAATCTCGAACAAACTACACTACAAGTTTTTACAACTTTTGTGAATTTAGGGAGAAACTTTAGGCCCTGCATTCAAAATTGTGAACCTATTTATTCAGCCAATCTTAAAGAATAAGAAAGAAATATGGCGTAGGGTCCGTTTTTTTTTTCTTTTTTTTAAGTCAATTTAAGGATTGTTTGGGGGTTTAAGGTGATATTGGCAGTGCTTCGGTTTTTTTAAATAATAAAAAAAAAATTTCTCTGATATTGAAAAAAGAAAAAATTGTCCGATGTTGTTTTCTTTTCAGACTAATTTTAAACAAGTTCGATGACAAGCTGATATCCGAAGTTGAGTTTTAGTGGAAATTTTCAGCTATAATTGAACTAAATTTTACTACAGGTACCGCTATTTTTTGGGTGCATTCGAACAAACTATTGACCAATCTGGAAATTAAGAAAAAAATTCAGACAATAAAAATTGCAGAAAAATTTGCAACTTACAAAATGTACTGTGAATTACAGTTTTTGCAAATCGAAACTAGTTTTTTTTTTATTTTGAGTTTTTCTGACTTTCGAAAAAGGTGATGGAAAGTTTGTGCTAAGGTGGTTATTTTTTTCCAGAAAGTTTCGATTTTTCAAATAGTTTTGACGAATTTTTTAAAATATCAGCCGAAAGGTAATGTTGTTCAGTTCAAATTTAAAAAAAATCAAATGCGTTTTTTTTCGTAAAATTATAGGGGTTTAAAGCTGTTTAAATATTTTTATTTTTGCCAATGCCATGTTGGGAAAATAAACGCGTGATAAGTTTTGTGCAATTAACGCGTAAGCCACAATTTCATCTGTTTTAGATATTTTTCCACATTGATTGAAGCAGACAATTTAGAAAACAAAAATTTCGCAACAATTTTTTTATGCGAACACTGCTCCGGAACCCCAAAAAGGCTATTGGAGCTTTCAGGTTTTCACTCTGATACAAGCATTTTTGTTGTTTCGACTTTCGAAGCAAATGACGGAACATTTGAACATTTGTGCACGGGATGGTTTTGTTTCTCCAGATAAATTTTGACTGCTTTTTTCTATCATCTAAAATGTTTTGTTGTCTAGAGCTCAAATATGATTATTTTTGTTGTCTAGAACTCGAATGTGATTGCCTGTGACTTTTGTCTTAAAGTTTTGTGGGTTAAAAGATTGCCATTTTGGCCACTTTGGGACAATTAGCGCGCGATATACTTCGATGCCTTAAGGCGTAAAACTATTTCTGTTTTGGATAATTTTATCCGGTTCTTTTCAATAAGAGCTATTGTAGCTTGCTCAGCTGGAAAGGCATAAGGCCTTCATTTAATCGCGAAAACATGCGTGACTAAAAAACAATCCAACTCAATGAAAGTTATTATCATAATTCGGCGAATTTTTCCTGCTTATTGCAAACAGAATCCATTCAGTATCCCAAACACTTATGAAATGTAAAAAAAACTGTTAAAAACACCCTTTGGATAATTTTTCTTCAAAATAATCAGATTGCAAAAAACTTTGCATGAATATGAGCAAACAAGGCAGCCTTGCATTCTTACTTTTCAGTCCGATTTTAGACACTATCCAGTGCGTTTATTTATCACTTCATATCAGAATTTTGAGTAAATCTCGAACAAACTACACTACAAGTTTTTACAACTTTTGTGAATTTAGGGAGTAACCTTAGGCCCTGCATTCAAAATTGTGAACCTATTTATTCCGCCAATCTTAAAAAATAAGAAAGAAATATGGCGTAGGGTCTGTTTTTTTTCTTTTTTTTTAGTCAATTTAAGGATGGATTGTTTGGGGGTTTAAGGTGATATTGGCAGTGCTTCGGTTTTTTTAAATAATAAAAAATTTCTCTGATATTGAAAAAAGAAAAAATTGTCCGATGTTGTTTTCTTTTCGGATTAATTTTAAGCAAGTTTGATGACAAGCTGATATCCGAAGTTGAGTTTTACTAGAAATTTTTTTGCCATACTTGAAATAACTTTTACTACAGGTACCGCTATTTTTTTGAATGCGTTCAAACAATTTATTGAAACTATTGTCCAATCTGAAAAACTAAAAAAAAAATTCAGACAATAAAAATTGCAGAAAAACTTACAAATTGTACTGTGAATTACAGTTTTTGCAAATCGAAACTAGCTTTTTTCATATTTGAGTTTTTCGGATTTTCGAAGAAATGATGGAAATTTTGTGCTCAGGTGGTTACTTTTCTCCAGAAAGTTTCAATTTTTTAAATAGTTTCGACGAATTTTTTTCAAATATCAGCCGAAAGGTAATGTTGTTCAGTTCAAGTTTAAAAAAAATTAAAGATATTCTATAGCTATCTCATAAAGTCTTTTTGCATTTCTTGACTCGTGCATTAGTCAGATAAGTTTTAAGATATTACATTGAGGTTGATCCGAAATTTTGTCGACTTTTTTTTAGATCGACTAAATTGATTTTCTGACCTCTTCCAAATCACTATAAAGACCCCATTTTGACAAAATTTTCTGCGCGGCAAGCAAATTTTTTTGGAAAAACAGGTCAAAAATGCAAAAAACCCGAGCCGTCCCCCTAAATTCGCTGGTGTCAGTATGTATGAAAAATATGGTCACCATATCTTAAGTACCTCAAATAAGGATGTCAAAAATCATGAAAGATACATGCAATTCATCGTATAAATGTTTAGTTATGCCTAATTGTTCCGACTTTCGATTTCGATACGAAAGTAACGGAATATTTGTGCTCGGGGTGGGTTTTTTTTCTTCAGACAAATTTCGACTTTTTTAACTTCAGACGGAATTTCATATCATTCGAAAGCTATTGTTGTCCTGACCTTAAACTTGAAAAGATATTTCACCTGTGATCAGTTTTCGTAAAGTTATAAGGGTTTAAAGATTGCCATTTTGGCCAATTTGGGACAATTAACGCGCGATATATTTCGCACTATTAACGCGTAAGCGGAGAGTTAATCAGTCTTATAAATGGTTCCAAATTGGTTGAAAGAAGCTTATTTGCCCTAATTGATTTGTTACACGGAGCGAAATCTATCCTTTTGTACTTTATATGGCGTGTGGGGGGATGATTTTCATTTTAAAAATTTCAAATTTTAGAATTTTTTTTCATTTTGTTTTATTTCATATAATTTTTTAATGTATTACTGCTCCATAAACCTTAAAAGGCAATTGGAACATTCAGGGCTTCGCCCTGAAACGAGCAGTCTTGTTTGATGTTAAAGGCTAACAAATGCGGCGCATTAATCCCCTCATAAACCATTCCAAATCAAAACGCACCACGCTAGTTGATACGAATAATCTGCTTCTCGATGTGACAAATATCAGTGTGTAGATTACATTAGGCATGATGACAAGATTTGAAAAAGGGACTTTTTTCGGTTAATAAAGGGCTTTTCCCTAATAGCAGCAGTCTTATTTATGCATCAATTATTTTTCTTCAGCCGTCATAACAGGGTGAAAAACAACAAATAGAGATGGCAGCTTTCAACACATACCATAAATGGGGAAATAGTTAACAAGATCCTGGAAACATTACATTGGTTTGTGAACAGGTTTTGCCGGAGGTTATTGAAATCTTTCAGCTCTTAGTGCGCTACCACCCCATAATCATGGAAAAAATATATTTTGGGTTTTCTAAGCTTATGAGCAAACTTTTCTAGCCAAGATTCAAGTTTTCAAATTTTCAAGATTCGAAACCTAAAAGCCGAGCTTCAACGTTTCTATTCAAACGAAAAAAAATCATCTTAACTTTTTCAAAATTTTATATTTTGTTAATTTAAAAAGTTTGAATTATGAAAACTGAATTTCTTGCTTTGTTTCTTAAAATTCTGATGTCTTCATTGCAAAAAAGAATAAGTCATAGAACTAAGAATGAGACTTTTCAGTGACCATATAAGCAACTGATTTTTAATTTTTTTTTGCGTCAGAATAGTCGTGCTTATTCTGTATAAAAAGTAGTCTGCTGAGCTTCAAAACACAAGAAAATCATAAAGCTCAGCTTGTTAATCTCGGCATTTGTAGTTTTTAAAGCTAAAGCAGTGTTTTACCAAAAAATAAAACGCGTGCATTTTTCAAACACACGTAAAACTCCACGCGTAAAATTGTTCAGCAAAACAATCATCAAATTCAGCTCTAGTTCGGTCTATATCTGACAGACAATAAATCTTATAGTTTTGGTTGTATTATACTCAAATTACCAGCATATCTTAGTATATTGCTTCAAAACAGTAGTAACACAACTTTTTTTTTACTATTTCTACTAAAATTTAATTTTTTTGTCCTGAAAACGATTGATCCAAAAAAAATTTTATGCTTAAGTTGAAAAAAACGGGCTAAAAACGATGAATATTCCGTTTAATAGCAACCCAAACGCGCCCAGAAAAGAGTTACCGTTCTGTTACATCTGTGGACGACAATTCACCAAAGCCTCGTTGCCGATTCACGAGCCCCAGTGTCTTAAGAAATGGGAAGTTTCCAATCAACAACTGGCTCCTGAGTTCAGGAAAAAGGCACCTGTGAAGCCAAAACCCCAGGCCGACAGAGCGATTGGGGGCAAGGGGGGAGGGGGAGGGGGGCAGGGGGCATCAGATGCGGCCTACTATGCCGCGCAAGCTAACTTAGGTATGGTTTTATAACACTTTCCGGATCTCTTTAAGTATATCCCCACCCCCTCGGGTACATAGTAACGAATATCCACTCAATAAAGAAATAAATCAACGATTAATCATATGAGAATTTTGTACCTAGTAACGAATCTCTCCCCCCGTTGCAAAAGGGGGGATATAGTTAAAGAGATCCCATTTTTCCCAATTCCAATGTAAGCTGAGAAAATCTGACACTCGTAATACTGTTACGTCACTTATTATGTTCACTGTATAACATCTAGTATAATATCGTCCAATTGTTATGAATAATTTAATACAGTTACCGGTTGCACCACCGGTTGAGGCCGGGAGGCGGGGGGGGGGGCTGTAAGAAACCAGTGTTTCCACAAATCTTTTAGTCGTTTTTTTTTAAAAGGAGAAGCCGTTTTCAGTGACCGTTTGAGTTTTTTTTTTAACTCACGGGGTCGATCTTTTGATTAGAGGTCGCGATCTATTTCAATTCAGTCATTTTGATTTCCCGGAATTTTCTTGAAACTCCTGATGACCTTTAACAAACGTTTTTAAACAGAATAGCGTTTTTTGACGCTTTTTTAACAAAACATTGCATATATGGCGCCATCGACGTGTTCAAAGCGACTTGAAAATATAGAATACTGTCCGGTGATGATTAAGTGTTTTGGAAAACTTTTAGATTTTTGGAAAATTTTTAGAAACAAGGAAAAATTGAATTGATTGGAGGAAAGGTCTCAATTTTTGAATTTTTTCTATCGAATTAAGTTATTAAGAATATGATATACATATATCAAAACAGTTTCTTTTCAGTCGAGTGTCCAAATTGTTCACGCACTTTCAACATGGACAGAATAGAGAAACATGTGAGCATCTGTGCGAAGACAGGAATAGTCCCCCCAAAGAAGACAGCGCCGGCCGAGTCATCTTCCTCTTCAAACAGCAGCCGACTAGCTCCCCCTGCCGACAACCACGCTAGAAAGACACCCTCCCCCAAAATGAAGAGCAAACCTCCCGCCAAGAGTACACCTGGCGGTGGAGGGGGAGGAGGAGGAGGAGGGGGAGGGGGAGGCGCGAAATTCTGCTCTTCGTGTGGTCACGCGTACGAATCAGCGGCTAAATTTTGCACCGAATGCGGAGCAAAAAGAGACTAAAATTTAAAAAGTTATATAATGTTTGACTGTGAAAAGATGGGCCATTTAGAAGAGTTTTCATGTGAATGAATTGAAATAGATTTAGTTTCACTCAAGCCTATTATCAAAAAATAATTATTACAAGAAAGTTTTACCTAGAATCTAGATCGACCCCTTATAACTAACAATACGTCTTCAAATTAAACAATGCACTGAAATAATTCCAAGTTGGCTTGCTCATAAATCTGATCTGTCTTGGTACACCGTCTGTTTGCCACGCCATCTATTTTTGATCAAGTAGTTTCTATTAAATTCCATAGTTATATTAGTATCTTGGAAACACTCATTGGCGTGGGCAGATTTTTTTCTAGGGGTGGGAGGTTTCAAAAAAATTTTGAAAAATTTGTTGACCGTTTGTTTAGGTTGACCGATTCGATTTTCTGAGCTCTCCGATAATAGTATAAGGACTCTTTTTGTCAGAATTTTTTCGCGCCGCAGGCAAAGTTTCCAAAAAAGCAGGTTTAAAATAACGTTTTGAACACTTAAAAAAGTAGACCAAAAGTCTTTCGGCGCGCGCTCCCCCAGCACTAATTACATTGGCGCCAATGGCGCTTTTAGAAAAAAAATTGAGGTCGGCCAGCCAAAAATGCATGTCATAAAATTATATCAAAGGGGGACCCTTAGAAAAAGTTTGGCACCAGAAGAGAGGGGGGGGGGGCAGTTGCCTCCCGGCACGCTTCTGGAAACACTGCTAGCTTGAAATTAGGTTGAATTTAACTTTATTTCGATCAATATATGAAGCAGTCTGATCAGTTCAACAGATAAGAGTAAAAAAATTAATTTACTAAACCCGTATGGATCTAACGTATGTAGCTGACATTCTTTTCTTCAGGTATGCGACCCATTCACGACCCAAAGGATCCCTCCTTTAATACTATTTTTGATATCCAGTGGCGTGCGCAGAAAATTTTCTAGGGGGTATAGGGTTTTTCGAAAAATTTTGAAAATTTTTTCGACTTTTTTTTAGGTCGACCAATTTGATTTTCCGAGATCTCCTAATATATTGTTAGGACAGGCAAATTTTTCAAAAAATTTTAGGCGTTTCAGGCATTTTTTTGGAAAATTTTGACTAAAAAATTGAACTTTTTGGCGCGCGCTCCCCCATCAAAATGAGTCATACTGGCGCCCAAGGCGCCTTTGAAAAAATTCCGAGTTTGTTCACCGAAAAATGGATGTAATAAAGTTATATCAAAAGAGGGACCCTTAGGAAAATTTTGACAACCAGAATTGGGAGGGGGCAGTTGTCCCCCGCCCCCACCCCTCGGCACGATACTGGTGACATCTATTTTCGGCCGACTCACCATAAACTTTTTCTAAATGCGCCGTTGGAGCCAAAATACTAGTTTTTAGGGGGAGCGCGTAACAAAAAAACGCGATAATTTGGTCAAAATATTCCAGCCATTTTTTTTTAAAATTTTATCTGTGCCGCAAAAAAATTGTCAAATTTGTGTTATTATGGTGCTTACCAGATCTCGGAAAATCAATTTGGTCGACCTAAAAAATTCAAAAAAGCCATCAAAATATTCGTTTTTTCCCAAATCCGCCCCTCCCCCATGACAAAATGATAAGACAGACGAGTTAGTGCGATATTGTTGTCGGCCATACATACCAAATAAAACCGCCATATGAAACTATTTGTGGTAAAAGAAAGTTAATTCGGGTTTAGTTTGAAAACAGCGCACAAAATTCAATTATTATCAGTCTAAAAATTTAGCGTGAAAAGAGAAGAGAATCATTTCAAAATTCCTGAAAAGTTCTAAATTTTGGAGGGAAACTAAAAAAAAACTGAATATCAATTCACCGAAATGGAATGAATTTCAAGAGAAAAAATACAAAAGGAAAAAACTCGATCATAAAAGTAGTTTCCTTTTTGAGCTTATTCAACTTAAATATTATTCCAGTATTCTTCATGAAGAAAAAAGTATTTGTATTTGAGTTTTTGCCAGTTAAAGCAATTGAAGAAGTGTTTGCAAAGAATAGTTGAGCTAGAATCCAATAAGCACGGGTTAAGCATGAAAAAAGATTTGCTTAGTTTTTATCTCAGAAGTTTTTCATCACGTTCTGTCCATGCGCGAGTTTATCAACCCTAGTTCCGCAAGTTTTATTGTCGCTCAAAAAACTGCTTTTGTGTGTTTTTTTGAAATTTATTTTGAGTTTTGAACTGTTCTCTCTGTTCAGGTAAAAATTTTTGTCAACTGAATAACGAGGGATCAAGTTAACATCCTACCCCCCCCCCACCACCACCACCACCAGATAGACCAATTTGATATCCTCCATCGCAGCGTTCAATATAATTTAAACTTGCTAAGTGGTGCAGGTAAAATGCTAGATTTTGATTGGCAAAACATTCGAATTCAGAATCAAGTTAACATCCTTTTTAAAAGCATTTTCAAAATACAAGCATTTACAAAAGACCTGAAAACCTAACTTTTTATTATTATCTCATTTAGGACCAAGTTAACATCCACCTAGACTCTTTTAGGGGGAGGATGTTAACTTGGTCTTAAATAAGATGAAAATAACTAATTAGTGTTTCAGATTTTTTGAAAATGCTTTCTTAAAAAAAAGGTTTGTTGACGGTTGGTTCTGCTTTTTGTTTTTTTTGATACTCATTCAGTATTTAAGTCTCAATGTGTAGTTTGTCTTGCGTTCTATCATAAAACTATTGTTGGTTAAAACTATAAGATTACGAGACGAACGTGTGTACTTTGTGAATTGTAGGCGGTTTCCGCAACAGGTCGAAAACAGACTTTCCGCGGGATCCGCGAAATTGCTTTTTTGATCTTCTATGATGTTGTGTATTCCTTGAACAAATAGCTAAAGCACTGAATTGCTCAAAATTGCACTGAAAACAACCGGTTTTGAGGAATCCGCAACCAAATTTGCGGAATTCAGTAATTTTTGGAAATACAAACAAATAAAATTATACATAAAAAATAAAGTTACGCTGTTGCGGAATCCGCAACTGTAAGCGGAATACGCACATTGTGATCGAAATTGCAAATTGTATTTTGTTTGCCGGTTCCAATAACACATATTTTTACTTTTTTCAATTAAATCTTTTTTGATAACTAGCGATAGTTTCCAGCAGCTCACTCTTATTTACAGTTCTGCTTACAATATGCGAATCTTTTTTACTACGAACATTTTAATCTCATGTACTGACAACTGTTGATAAACTGATGACAACTGACATCTTATGTGCTAATAAAGGGTTATAGTCACATGTATCTATTAGCAAGTCATAATCAAATGATCCCCAAGGCAACATGCTAGGAGATTTACCCCATTACGAAAGGGTTACATCCACAATTAGTTAAACAATGATTTATGATTTGTTATTGTTGTAAGGTTCTTGCTTTCAAATTTTTGCTTGATCTTTTTTTATAGCTATAGTTTTTTACTATTCACGCGAGAACTCGTTTAGTTCAGTACAATGATGAACTCTACGATCTACTTATAATTGCAAAATCCGCGTAAATTTTGCGGAACCTGATTTTGTTTACGGAATCCGGAACAACTAGCTATAGTTTTTTGTTGCTTAATCCGCGACAAAACTAATTTACCGACAAAATATACTTTACACGTACTTGGATGCGGGAATACGTTCCTTCCCTCAATAGGAGGGCAAAGTGGCACAACCAGTCAGACGTTAAGTTGAAAGCCGGCGACTTGGTTTGGGTCATAGAGCCTGACACTCCACGTGGACATTATCCACTCGCACGTGTTCTAAGACTGCACTATGGCAAGGACGGATGCGCGAGATCCGCCGATATAAAGACCGTTACGAGCGAACTGACCCGCCCGACCGTAAAGCTCGCTCACGTTCTTCCTTGTTTAGGGGTGGAGGATGTTGCAGCGCAAATATAAAACAATAGTATAAATGCATATAAAACTGAACCAAAATATAAATGCATGTAGGGACAGTAGCCAAGTGTATACATGGTGCGTCCCGGCGGGTTCGGCGCCGGTTCGAATCCCGACTAGGTCGTTTCCTTTCTAGAACTCGAATATGCACCGAACTTGATGGGATGCTCCTTAACCAGGTTCGAACCCCCCCCCCAAACCTATTTTAACCGTCTTTTCGCTCTAATTTGGTTCAGCCTTGATTAAGGCTGACCTTTAAAAAGAGCAATTTGTCTCAAGGACAAATACTGGCCACTTTCGCAGCTTGCTTTGAGTTATGCAGTGTTTTGGGTCCGATCTTACCGATGATGAAATACGTTTTGAAAACTGTAAAACTATGGATTTCTTTGTTAGTTTTGCCGAAAAAACGCTCTGTAATTCAACTGTTTTAAAGTCAATATTTTTACGATTTGGTTTGTGGAGATTTGCGCGTACATTTTGGCGCCCCGCAAGGGACATTAGTGGTTTCTTGTGCGATTTAAAGAATTGTAGTCTGTGTTAATGGCGACATTTTCCGACATTTTCTGATTCATCTTCGATTTGTTTGCTGTTATTTTGCCGATAAAATTTCACTAAACTGACACTTTTGGGACCCTTTTTTTGACTACCGAAAACCGATCTACTCTAACATAGCTCTACTCAAAAATCGAAACCGCACCCGAGTAGAAAACGCACGATACGGCTCCTAGCGTTACGGCTTCTTCCTATAGAAGGAGGTAGGCCACTACGTTACCTTCTTGTGGATTACCTCTTGAACTAAGGAGAGACGCCCTCGTCTCAGAATAATCCCGAAAGGGCCAAACGGAGGCCTGTTCAGGTGTCGCGTTTTGAGGAGCTGCTCTGGTGTCGGATCTTAGAGGCCTGCTCAGGCGTCGTGTGAATTGCATAGGCCTTTATACAGGTGTCGTGTTTTGTCTTCAAAGACGAAAGAGCAGACAGAAGAAAGAGCGGACTGACGGAAGAGAGAGAGAGAGATGTCTGTTCAGGTGTCCTGATTGTTGACTTTTGGTCAAAGTGGAGCTTTTTTTTCTCGACACCCGAAGTTTTGGATTTTTTCCCCGGTGTCGTCAGTCTCCAAAACCGTCAAAAGCTGTAAGACTCATCTAGTTTTTATAAATTTTTTTGTGCAATAAAGTTACATACGGTGTCTTATTGTGTATCCCAACTCAAAGC